TCTCATGGAGATGACAAATGACAAAGAAATAAAGTATTTGTATAGTATATTTAGTGTTGATATCCTGTAATTTCTTTACATATCATATTAGTCAAAGAAAGCTACATACTTGAACAACAATTCAGAATGTATAGAACTATACACTACCTTTATAGCAACCAGATATATTATGCTATAGCAAATGATAGAATGCAAGGATGCTGAATTGATATCAATATCAATCTTTCACACTGATCTTTTGTTAGTTCTACAAACGTATTTACCCCATATTAAGATTTTTAACACATTCTTTCTGTATGGGTTAATCTTTCATCTGATGCCTGCTTGGTTGGTCCTTACAGAACAGCCATCTCTTTGGAAGTATATTATGATCATTCCAAAATAATTGACAATCTTCTCTCACCACAAACATCACAGCATCTTATTGTTTACTTACCAAAACCTGCAGTTTTTTTATTTTAGAGACAATCTTATTTTACATATCAGTCCCCAATTTCCTCTGCCTCCCATCCTCCTATGGCCTCCACAGACCCCCCAACCCACTTCAACCCACCCCAATCCACCCACCACTGACTCCCCAATGATAGTGAGGTCATCCACGGGAGAACATCAAAGTCTGTCACATCATTTGGGGGAGGGCCTAGGCCCTCTTTCATTTATCTGGGCTGCAATAGTATTCCTCTATAGGGAATGTGCCCCCAAGTACATTTGTGCACTGGAGGTAAATACTGGCTCCACTGTTAGAGGTCCCATAGACTGCCGAGGCCTCCTAGTTGGCACCCATATACACAGGGTTCAGTGCTTGTTCCCCAGCTTTACAAGGGAGAAGGGATGAGCAAAGGTACCACAGAATCTGCAGTTTTGAGTATGTTATCTTACTTGTTTTTTGTAGGATTCAAGCTTTATGAACGCAGTTTCCATGTGTTCCATATTGCCATATACCCTCAGCAGGACAACAGGTTATACACATGGCATTAAAAGAGAACATATTTTTAATTACTATTTATAAAAGCATTATTGGAATACTTTCATCTAAAATGGTAGAAAATGTAGAATTAGAAATTTTCTCTCTATATCTAAGATGTTTATTGCTGTGATTTAAAGAGAAAGGTGAAGAAAATAATTTTGAATCAATAATTACTGTTCTGTTAATTTTTGTAATTTGGTGTATTTCAACACAAAGAGACAGCATTCTTAGCTTTTTTTATTATTGCTTGCAATGATATAGGATCAAAATAGAAAACAGACCAGTCCTCACTGCATCACTGCAATGGTACGAGTAAGATGGTTGTTTGGAAAGCCCAAGAGACCAGACACCAGACAAGCTTTGCATTAGCATAGTTATACAGAGAGTGTACTCTGCTCAACCATTTTCAAACATGAAAAAATGTTTCCTCATAAGATTCTCATGAAATATGTATTAGTGTATATTCTCCCTTTACGAATAAGTATACAAAATTAGAGAAATCGAAACTTGCAAATGCTCTGTATGTGGTAGACTTACAATTTTAAAACACAGAGTCTAGAACTTAAATGATTTAATCCATTTACTGACAAAAAAAGAATTCAACCTTAATTATTTTTAGTGCAGGAACTCAGCGTGCTAGAAGTACTAAAGTAAAACTTCAGCATAGATAGAGCGTTCTAAACACGTTTGACGGCAGTATGAAATGTTATCTAAATAAAATAGAAAGTGTATTACTTGCACACACATGTGTACACATACACGTGTTCACTTGACCATGCCAGGCTGAGTTTATTGTAACAAATTTAGCATTCAGAATGATGTAAAGCCTCGTGAAGCCTCTATAGTATGAAGAGAGGACCCAAGCATAGGAGGTAGAAGACTATGAAAGGATCTAAGACCATGCCTTATAAAACAGAAACCATACAAATGGACATGTTCCTTATTGAATATGCTAGACTTGCTGATCTTGGAAGATCACAGAGGAAAAAGATACACAAAGGCCCTGTGCCATTAAGGAAGAAAACTTAGAAACTATGCTGATGTTCTGACATATAGAGAAAGCGTGATATACCAAAGACTATATTTACCTTACACCAGGGCAGCAGAAAAATCACGTGACACATGCAGTTTTGTCTCATAGAAGGTCCTTCTTTAATGTTTACTCGAGTTACTATTGCTCAAACACATGAAGTCTCTCCATCTTCTAGCTTATTCATTTTTTTCATGCTCTTTTCACTCTTGTAAATACAGAAAGGTTCCCCTTCTTGAAATCCAGCTTGAGTCAGTCAAATGTTTTGTTAAAGGTCCCTTTTCTAGGATTCCAGAGGCAGACTCCATTAGAATAAACATTCTATACTCCTTACATCTATAGGCTCTGATGCAAGATGCTTATAACAAATCTAGAGCATAGTGTATGAATTTCTAAAAATTAAGCTTTTAAACTTAAAACTTTCCATTGTACGTTAGAAATGATCAAAGTATCTGTCTTGTCATTACTTGAAGAACATTGTTAGCTGCATTATTCATTGCATGCTACTTGCTTATACTCAGCAATGCTACTTCTACAGTTTTGTTTTATCAATCTGTATCAATCTGTCTGCACACACGTACACATACTGCTATGCATAAATATATTCTCTTCTTTTTTGTTTTGTTTTTTGAGACAGGGTTTCTCTGTGCTTTTGGAGGCTGTCCTGGAACTAGCTCTTGTAGACCAGGCTGGTCTTGAACTCAGCGATCTTCCTGCCTCTGCCTCCTGAATGCTGGGATTAAAGGCGTGTGCCCCCACACATTCTCATCTTAAGTAAAAAGCAAAGACTCATTCTTATTTCAGATTATGTATCCCCACACTGTGGGGCAGGAATTTATGATTTTCCATATTTATATTTTCTGGTGTGGATACAGAGTCATGATCTTCCCATTAGTATACCGTACAGAGTATGTCCCAAAACATAAGTCATGCTATTACTTTAATAGGTTAATTATTATCCCCAGAGGAAAAAACCGTGATATAATAGAAAGAAATCTGAACCTAGAATTTGACTATGTTAATTTTATGGTTTGGAACATTCATACTAGAAAAATATTAGAGGACTGTCATGTTCGTCCCAGAATATTTAGTAAAATAACTATATCTACACAACAGATATCAATAATATCTACTTCCTATAAGGAAAAACCTATTGTGTTGTCAAATGTCTCCTAAAGAGCGAGAGGTTGTCCCTTAGTAAGGACCACTGACTTAACTACAAATCCATTTATTGATATGTGAGCTGTGTGATTGTTTTTTTTTAATCAGCATATGAACTCAGGCAAATCACCTCAGGACTCTAATGCCTCAAGTTCCTCATTTGTGAATGTTATGAACTCTAAATGAGATATTCTTCTAAGGTGTCTGGCATGGAACATAGCAATAATACAACTTATTGATTCAAATTCAGAATTTGCTATTGTTTATAGTCAGAATTTGAGAAAAAGGCATTAAAATACATCTAAAATATGGGGAACGATCTTGCCAATTTCAAACTTTCTGACTCGTTTCTCCAACCCTGGCATCAATTTCCACTTGATTTGACCCATGTTTGCTACCGTGCTAAAATTGGCAGTGTTTTAAGTAACCTTCATGCACCACCCGTCTCTTCTGGCAACCACAACTTAAAAGGAGAAGCCAGATGTGGGAGGGACAGCAAAACAGTAAGTGTAACATACTGACAACCAAGTTAAGGGTAGAGTTTACAGCTTAAAAACAAGTGAAATCACTATTTCTGCATAACACAATGCATCTATTTCCTAGAGGACTCCATAGAATTAAATGTTAAGAGAGATATTGTACTTGAAACTTGAGAGATAATGTGCCTTAATGTGGTAAAATATTTACCATTATAGGAAAAGACCATTAAATTATCATATTGTATCTCAGTAGACTAATAAAACAGTCACCTATGTAGAATAGCATTACCCTTAAAATTTATTCAATCTGTGACTGAAATTATAAATAGTATGATGCTGAAATAACACTGGATGTTTTAGAGCATGTAAATAACTTTCCACAGAGTGAATGCTGTGTAGGGATGGGTGGACCCTTTCCAATACTGTTATGTGACTCTTAAAAGGAAAGACCAAAATGGATCAACCTGCAGGCTGCAGAACTTAGAAATACTGCTCAACTTGCTTTGTTTAGAATAAAGTTCAAAAATAAAAAGGACAACGTTCTGTAAATGTCATTTGTTAGTTTTTCTTTCTTAAGCAAAGCAGTTGGAACTATTTCTTCCAAATAGGAGATCCTGAAATGTCTGTGGAGCCTTCTTTCTCATGTATTAAAAATACCTCTTATCTCCCTTCTTTCTTCCTACCTTCCTGCACTCCCTCCTATACAATCTGCCTGCCTTCCATTCTTTCTGCCTACCTTCTGTCCCTTCCAAATCCTACAAATATGTGTTGAATATGGAAAATCTCTTGACAACAGTACATTTGATAAACATCAATAAGCAGTAGGCTGAGATTGGCTAACTAATTCAACGAAAGCATTTACTTTGTTAGTCACGTTGCTGATTTTATTGTTAGCAACAAAATAAAGTCTACATCTTACAATTAGGCTAAGACATTTGAGTATTCAGCCATTATTATCACTCAAAGTAGCATCAATAAATCAATAATTTGAATCTAACTTTCTTTGCTTTGCTCTTACAATGGTTACAATTCTTTTTTTTTTTTTACGAGACAGGGTTTCTCTGTATTGTTTTGGAGGCTGTCGGTCCAGCCTGATCTCGAACTCATAGAGATCCGCCTGCCTCTGCCTCCTGAATACTGGGATTAAAGGCGTGTGCCACCACTGCCCGGCTATGGTTACAATTCTTACTTTCAAACTACACAGCAGAAACATAGTTACATCTCCAGCTCCTCACCTACACTTGCATACATACACACAAATGCACAAGCTTACATATAAATAAACATGAGCCATAGACCACATTCGCTCTTTTGTTTCCACATACTGACTGATTAAAATATATTTCAACTTTGTATTGTTTATTAAAAATTGGGTTTTTGCTGATGTAAAAGAGAATAGGCAGGGGCCATGCTAATCTTCTCTGTATCGTTCCAATTTTAGTATATGTGCTGCCGAAATGGGAATAAACCTACCACAAGACCCAGCAACTCCACTCTTAGGCATATATCCAAAAGATGCCCATTCATACAACAAGGATGTCTGTTCCACTATGTTCATAGCAGCATTATTTGTAATAGCCAGAACTTGGAAGCAACCTAGATGCCCCTCAACCGAAGAGTGGATAGAGAAAATGTGGTACATTTACACAATGGAGTACTATTCAGCAGAAAAAAACAATGGAATTCTGAGATTTGCAGGCAAATGGATGACACTAGAAGAAACCATCCTGAGTGAGGTAACACAGTCACAAAAAGAGAAACATGGCATGTACTCTCTCATATATGGATTTTAGACATAGATCTGGGGAGTGCCAGCCTACAATTCCATGGCCAGAGAGTCTGGGAAACAGAAACATCATTCAGTGGCTGATGTAAGAAGAGGCACATTGCCATGGCTATTAGGCCTTGGGTAGTTGATCAGTATTTATCCCTGGCATACAAATGGACTTTGAACTCCCATCCAACAATGAGAGATGCACTCTCATCCTGGACTCTTGGGGGAGGGTCTAGGCCCTGCCCTGGATGAAATGACAGACTATGGACACCCCCATGGAGGGCCTCACCCTCCCTAGGGAAATGAGGGGATATTGGGCGGGGGTTGTTGGGAGGGCATGGGAGGAGGGGAGGGAAAGGGAGAGGGACCTGGGATTGACATGTGAAGCAACCTTGTTTCTAACCTAAATTTAAAATTTAAAAAAGATATTGAGCCATTCATAGTGAAATGAGAGTTTACATCGAATATATTCTCTTGATTGAGCACTCATAGGAAAGTCCAAGACTATTCCCATCCATCCAACTACTAAATTTATGATAATTTTTTAATTACAAAATGAGAAAAATGATCACAGCCTAGTAGTTCCTATTTGCATAAGCAGAATTCAAGAAGATTGGAATGGAAAATTCCCGTGACCTTAAAATGAACCTGGAGTGTATAGTGAATTAGTTCTGCCAGGGCCACAGAGGAAGGTACTGGTTAGCATATAGGATAATGGGGTGAAATAATCCGTCTTTAATTTTTCATATGGAGTCAAAGAACTTAAAGTTCCATAACAGAGTCAAGGAAGTGAATATAAGATTATGATTAGATGAAAACAATGAGCTGGTAAAAGACAGAGAAGACATGGTCTTCTCATCATTTAGGATGGAAGCTTGCTTTTAATCATACACTTACATCTTGTGCTTGCTTTCCCATTCTCTTTTTTATTATTATTCTTTTTTATTATTTATTTTTAAGTTTAAATTTAGATTAGAAACAAGGTTGCTTCACATGTCAATCCCAGGTCCCTCTCCCTTTCTCTCCCCCCTCCTCCCATGCCCTCCCAACAACCCCTGCCCAATATCCCCTCATTTCCCTAGTGAGGGTGAGGCCCTCCATGGGGGTGTCTATAGTCTGTCATTTCATCCAGGGCAGGGCCTAGACCCTCCCCCAAGAGTCCAGGATGAGAGTGCATCTCTCATTGTTGGATGGGCACCCAAAGTCCATGTGTATACTCGGGATGAGTACTGATCAACTACCCAAGGCCTAATAGATTGCCTAGGCCTCTTCAGATACCCACATTCAGGGGGGTCTTGATCAGTCCCATGCTGGATTTCTAGCCATCAGTCTGGGATTCAAGAGCTAACCCTTGTCAGGTCAGCTGTTTCTGGGGGTTAAACCAGCCCAGTCTTAATCCCTTTGGTCATCAGTCCGCCCTTTCTGTCACTGGGTTCCTTGAGTTCAGCTCAGTGTTTAGCTGTGGGAGTCTGCCTCTGCTTCCATAAGCCATTGGATGAAGGTTCTGTTTCCCAGACTCTCTGGCCATGGGATTGTAGGCTGGCACTCCCCAGATATATGTCTAAAATCCATATATGAGAGAGTATATGCCATGTTTCTCTTTTTGTGACTGGGGTACCTCACTCAGGATGGTTTCTTCGAGTGTCATCCATTTGCCTGCAAATTTCAGGATTCCATTATTCTTTTCTGCTGAATAGTACTCCATTGTGTAAATGTACCACATTTTCTCTATCCACTCTTCGATTGAGGGCCATCTAGGTTGCTTCCAAGTTCTGGCTATTACAAATAATGCTGCTATGAACATAGTGGAACAGATGTCCTTGTTGTATGAATGTGCATCTTTTGGATATATGCCTAAGAATGGAATTGCTGGGTCTTGTGGTAGGCTTATTCCCATTTTTTCTGAGGAATCTCCATACCGATTTCCAAAGTGGCTGTAGGAGTCGACACTCCCACTAGTAGTGGAGGAGTGTTCCCCTTTCTCCACATCCTCTCCAGCATAAACTGTCCTTGGTGTTTTTGATTTTAGCCATTCTGACAGGAGTAAGATGGTATCTCAGAGTTGTTTTGATTTGTATTTCCCAGATGGCTAGGGATGTTGAGCACTTTCTCAAGAAACACAAGCAAATAAAATTTTCCTTTCATTGTCAGAACAAAATTTTATGGAGGGTTTTAATGTGTGTGTGTGTGTGTGTGTGTGTGCGCGCGCGCGCGCACGTGCGTGCATGCGCGAGCACACACACACGTGTGGTTTTTGAGCACTCATGGCTCTGTGTATGCACATGTTCTCTTGTGTTTATCATTATGTATTCTGTCCCAGATTCTGTGTTTTAGTGGAGTTCTTCAGAAATTGTTGTTGTTGTTAATGTTCCCACTAAATCTCTTTACAAACAGAAAAGTGATTCAAGGATGACTGTGACAAAGCAGGTAGACAAGAGAGCTAATTATTCATCTTTGTATTTCTAATCTTCCTCAAGGAAAAATAAAAATAAAAGATGTGCGAGTTTAGAACACACAGACAGGGTGAATACAGATGCTTGCTATTCTGGGACAGATGTCAGAGAGTTGACTCAACTCAGGAATAGCTACGTAACATTCAAAAAGCATTGTGCATGGAAAGCAACCATAAGTGAATGCATAACAAGTAGCAAAATGGTGTTTTCTATATAAATTGGTAAAAGTTGCATTTTACTAGGACCAAAAATGGTGCAATGCAGATTCAATCTTTTCAAATGAAAAGGAAAAAACTCAAGGTAAAAAATGAAGATTTACATATAGATTTTTAGTTGCCCTTGATGAGACCAAATTTATACTTTAATAATTCATTGAACATATTTGAAATTCCATTGAAAATATCTCTTATCCTCTCACATTCATTGAATAACATGCAAAAAGAATGCTGTGACTAGATACAAATGAATATACCTGCAATGCCATGTTGGCAGACTGAGGCAAAAGAATGATGAGTTTGAGGGAATTATGGACTACACTGTAAGATGGTGCACAAACAATGGAAGAAGGAAGAATGCCCATAACTAAGGAAGTTGTGCGTATGGAAGTTTCTGTCCAGTCTGGTCCTGCTGCCACTAAATCCCAAATAAACACACTGCGGCTTATAATAATTATAAATTGTTCAGCAGTTGACTCGGCCTTCTTAATGCCTAGCACTCTCTTAATTATTGGCACATAACTATTAATGCATGTATTTCCACATACAATTGGCATTCCAGTGATGCCCAGGCCTCTTTCTTCCTTATCAGCTACATCTCTCTGTTTACTTGCTCTCTGCATTCCTTCTCTTCACCTTTACATAGTTTGGTCGCCCCATCTATCCTTCCTGCCTGTCCACTGACCAAAACAGTTTTATTCATCAACCTATAAGAGAAACATATATTCACAGCATACAGAAGGATATCCTCCATCTGTGTTCTTGTACTGCTTTCTGGTGAGACTTTGTTTTTACAGACCAAGAATGGAGGTTCTGAGTCATCCTGCTGCCATCCAAGTTTCCTTGAGTCTCATATTATATTAGAGATGTATATAACAATTTGATTAATAGACCAAAGACTATTGTTTATACAACTCCTCCTGGATTTGGAAACCTACGCACCTGAGTTCAACCTTCAGAACTCACATAACAAACAAACAAAAAAACAAACAAACAAAAAACATCTTATATGATAGCATGCATTTGTAATCCAAGCCCTGGAGATGCAGAAATGGGAAGGTCCCTGGGGTATGGGACTCTCTGGCCAGCCCAACCATCTTAGCCTATTGGGCAATTTCCAGGCCAAGTAAGACACTCTGTCTTAAACCAGTAAAAGATAGATGGCACCTAAGGGATGATGACACTTTAGGTTGTTCTCTGGCCTCCATGTATGACTCATACACTGAATAGAAACAACTAATTACAAATTAGGTTTAATCTAGTTATGTGGATAATATTTTAATAACAATATCTTCTCAGAGGCTGGAGGGATATCTCAGCCATTGAGAGTACTTGCTACCTTTGAAGAAAATCTGAGTTTTGTTCCCAGTACCCACATCAAGTGGCACACAAATGCCTGTGTCTGTGGTTCCAGAAAATCTGATGCCATCAGATGGACTCGCTAGGCACCAGAAATTATCATCCCTGGTGTCTATGCACACACCAAGACAAACATATACATATAAGTATTTTAAAGTTAAAAAAATTAAAAATAAAATTGACAAAATGTCCAGACTATATTTTTCTGTATAAAAGTGTAATAAATTTCCTTAGTTCTAGATGTGGTCATTTTGATGGATTAGTACTCACGATCTGCAAACTCTTGCCTAATATTTCCATAAAACTTAAATCTTCACCCTACCAGTAATGATACTGAATACCCCATCTGGGAATATCTAACCTTCATAAAAGCATTTTAAAGATAGTTTTCCCATAATTTTTTTGCCCTTATCTGATTTACTTTGTAATGATTTGAATTTACTGAAGATAATAAAAATCATACTATGAGTGTATAACAACTTCCTTTCTGGAAATAAACCATATGCCATCTAATTTCAAGGCATATAAAGCATTACTTCCTTCTACAGGTTGGCAAATATTAACAAAGTAATGAACTTTAGCAGCATGTTTTGAATGAAATGTGTGAAGTGAGAATAATTGCCTCCATCAAAGAGGCAGGATACAAGATTAAATCAAAAGAATCAGTA